TACTTTATGCATATTCTATTTGGACCTGGTGCTGAGTCCTGGTTTGGTTGCACCCTGGCTCAGAGTGATGGGATAGAGTGCAGTTCCTTATTTGTGTTTTGGAAAGGTTTTTTACGTTATAAAGGTTGGTAAATTCCCTGACTACAAAACCTGTTCAAAAATGCAAGGTCATAGGTTCAAATCCCGGCAGGGTCAACTCAGCCCTTCATCCTTCCGAGGTCGATAAAATGAGTACCATTAAATTGGGTAATAATAACATCTATTACTATTTAGCTGCCGATTTGGTTAATTCCGAGAGCTTGCGCTGAAAAGCGCTTTGAGTCCCACTGGGAGAAAGCTGCTATATAAATACTAGTTATTTTTATTGTTATTATTATGTACTCCTCCCTCCAAGGCATCATCTCTAAAAAGGGGCATGTCTACCTCACCTTGAGACGCGAGCATGCTCATGAAAGGTAAAAAATGGAATCCCCAGGTAGTTTTAGGCTCCCATTGGTTGTGAGTTGTGCAAAAATAGATACATATGAGTTCATAAAACCATTTATTTATTTGATTTTTAATTCAGCCATATGGAACTTAAGCTGCATAGCAGGAGCATATGATGACAATGTATGAACAGACAGACAAACTGTTTTGTTTTTCACCCATGTATAACATTTATATTTCCAATGATAAACCTATGTTATGTTTCCTTTATCACCACAATTTTATTCAAGTTCCTATTGACTTTATTCTTAAGATGAATGGTCCATTTGATGTTCTGGTGACAAAACTTTCAAACCATGGGGGGGCCATGTTTTTTTTTAAATTTGTTCAGGACATGACCTGAGCATGGGTATATACTTAGTATCTGTAGCTCTTCCCATTGACAGATGATAGAATGATCCATATAACCATCTTAGACATCCCACCAGCCATCAAATGGAGGTGGGGTACTTGGCTACAAGAGACTGATGAAACCTAATGACTTTAAATCTTAAATGTCAGTGTTGTCCTTGTCTATTCAGGTAAAATTTTTGAGGAATGGGTAAATAAGTGTAATTTTTTACTCATTGAGTTCGTCAATATGAGAATCAGACACTAATGTCGCAAACATGAAGCAAATAAGGAGAGCTACGGTAAGTGATTTAAACTGAGTTTATTTATGGTGAAAAAAGGAACTATAGTCAGATGTTTCCTGTAGAATGATACAAATATAAATATTTTCATCACAAGGATTTGTTTCATACTAATCTAACTGGGAGCAGCCATCTTGATTTGGCTTGCATCATTATACCCTTCTAATAATTTATTTCACCCCTTTGAAAGAAATGTTTGTGTTCTGGAAGCTTCAGAAGGATTGTTATAAAGAAGGGATGTAGATGTCATTGAATAATTATGCAGAATTTTCAAGAAAAGGCACAAAAAACCATAACCTATTGTTGTTTCTTAAGCTAGATTTAATGAGAGAAAAAATCTCAAGCGTGACAGGTCCACTTTAAGAAAAAAGCTGTCATGTAGCAAAATAATTTATGCCGATTCATCGTGAGATTTAAAAATAGAAATACAAATCCACTAGGGACAGTAATTATATTATGAAGGTTACAAAAAAAAAATATTTATCCCAAAGCTTTTTCTGCATTGCTTGTAAATCGTCACTACATGATTCAGACATATATATAATGTATTAGCTGTTTGGTTTATACAATAAACTGAGAGCACTAAATGCTGGAATATCTGTATAATTATTTTGTTTGTTTTAATTGAGCAAAATTGAGAGTGAGAAAAAAAAGTTTCTGAAAAAAATTTAACTTTTAGAAATCTATTTTGAGAGAATGCGGTATTATTTGAGAATTGTCACTTTGTAAGAGAAAAAATAAATAAATGTATTATGACAGGTTCATAGCATGGAACAGAAGGCTACTTTAAATGCAGTGTTTATATGCTTCATGCTTGTTTCTTATACAGTTAGGCACAACCACTCATGCTAACAGATTGTGTCACATTGACAAGATTACAAAAGCATTATTACTGTTGTATAGATCGCTTTTCACAAGTGTAGCATTGGGCGTCTAGGTTGTGCACACTGTCATAAAGGAAGACGGACTATATGAAGGTATGCTGAGAGGTTGGGAGTTGGGATATATTGCTATTTAAAGCTTGATATCTAAAATTCTGATTCATGCAGAAGGCAATATCACAGTAATACTGCAAATAAGATCACTGTAAATAAAGCATGCTATTTTTGCATATTATATTGTTTTAAAACCTTTTTTTTCAAAAGAGCTTCATTGTTTTAGATGGTACAGCTTCCTGAGTACTTAATCCAGTCACTTAGTTTCCTGAATTGTGCTATGCAGAACCAGATCAAAATCTCAATCAACCCTTGGTAGAAATAGTTCATGTCCCTTTCTCCAGCAAATGAATAACATATGCAAATAATAATGTTGAATAACTGGTAAGAAAAAATAGGTTAAAGACAAACAGACTCTGGGAGAGATGGATCAAAGTGCCCTGTTCTAAAAAGTGGTGCAAAAATGGAAACGAGCAGTCACCGCTTGTTTTCATGGTGACTGCCATATGGTTAGTATTTTTAGACCACTTTTTAGTAAAGATCACTTTGATATATATCTCCCAATGTTCCTTTGTTTATTACTGAATCCAAAAAAAAGCAGCACTCCAAGAAAACATGCTTTATGGGAAATTGTGAAGACCTCCATCATAACCCGCATTTCCATTCTGTAGGAATCTGTATTTCATACTCTGCTTTTTCCAAAATAGACTTCCTAAAACTCTAGTGGATCAATATCCACCCAATGGACAGTTTCATACAAAAGAATTTCATGTTCTTTTCAAAATTCTTGTATTGCGCTATGCGGAAATTCAAAATGGTACCAAGTCTCAAGTTTTCCCTATTTAACCCCTTAAGGACCAAACTTCTGGAATAAAAGGGAATCATGACATGTCACACATGTCATGTGTCCTTAAGGGGTTAAGCAATACATGTTGTTTTGGGGAATTTGCTTGAAATGTTGGAGGTCCTGATATTTGTGTATCTTACTCTACATACAATCAGAAACTTTGCCGAGCCCATAATAGACATTAGAGCTTTTAACCCCTTAAGGACCAAACTTCTGGAATAAAAGGGAATCATGACATGTCACACATGTCATGTGTCCTTAAGAGGTTAAATGAACATTATAAGCACAATAACCACTTCGAAAGATTAGAGTTGCAGTGGTTCCTGGGATCTATGTGCCTGAGGCACTGGAATCTATATCGCTACTAAATAGTTTACTCGGATTCTGGAATTCTGAAGGCCAGCCTAGCATAGCACTTCCACCGTTTTGTTATCAGAGGCTTCAGGCTCCTGAGGACAGAGAATCTCTACTAAATAGTGAATAAACAGTATGTTAGTGATACAGGACCCAGAGCCCACTGGCTCCAGACACGATAACCACATTGTTCCTTTAAGCAGAATACAAGTATTTTTCAAGTATCCACTGTTATTTAGTAGTATGTGGTACTTGACATATACAATATATATTTTTAATAGGTAGTTTCCTTAGAACTATGGGAACTTAGAAGCATACGATGATAACAGAATGTAGGAAGAAGATAACATTGTATGACCTATAGTCTAGTGCAAGGATAGGCAACCTTTTGCACTCCAGATGTTGAGGAATACATCTCTCCTGACGCTTCCAGTATTCCAGTATCACCTGGAATGCCCAAAAACTTTGGAATATAGAGTTAGGCCAATTAGCATATTATCTCCCACGTTTAAAAATAAATTAGGATCCAATAATTTTGGGGCATTTGGAGGCATTTGGTGCACTAATTAGAAAATCTCAGCAACATGCATTTTGTTTAAGTTTGTGGTCTGTTAGACAGTATGAGTTTTAAAACTTCATGTTCCAAATTATGGTAAATTTAGTAAATTTGTAATTCTTTTTATATAAGTAAATATGCATTTTTAAAACAAAATAGTGGACCACTTGGACTTGCTAAAATTCTTAAACATATTACTTTCTGGGTTTTTTCTAAAGTTGTACCTATTTTTGCTCAATACATTTTTTTTTTACATGGCACCCATCAACTGTTCTGCATTAACACAGTGGTTGTGAACAGTGACTACACAGTATTCTCTAATTGTATCTATTTATAATGGCATTTCATTGTCCCCTTATGTATTAAGTGTGTAAGGCAGGTTTAGTCAAATATTCTCTCATGCCTCTAATGTACTATACATCATTATAAAAACACTAATAACACTAATCATGTTTATGAAAGTATTATATTTTTCATTTCCATGCGTTGACAATTTAATACATACTCAAAAACAAAAAGTAACAGAATAATAATAATAATAATCTAAACAAATGCTACTTAACTTAAAGCAAGAAAAAACAAGTCCATTAAAAGCTAACTGAAATGTAAAATGTGAGAAATAAACAGGGCTGCATTGTGTGATTGTGTGATGCACTTCTTTGAAACATTTATTAGGAAATGATGTTATATTTGTGTACTTGTCAATAAAAATTTTAGTTATTTAAAACTTGTAAAATCTAAATGTAAACAATAATGAATCTGACGGAATGCATTTAACATACCCAATAGCTTACAACTCAATTAAATGTTTGATTCAAACTGGTAAACATGAATTAATAATGATTTGAGCACATTATATGTTTGTTCCCGTTGCAGAGATTTTTTTTATTTGACGTCACTGTATAAAAATGACAAAATGTGCACACAAAATTGGAAAAACAAGTTTAAATTCGACAGAAATGCTGTTCAATTTCCAGTCCCCTGTGGTTAAAATTATTTTTAGAACCCCAATGATTTGTTTAATGCTGCATTTTTCTTCTCCTTATTTATTAACACTATCTGTTTGTGTTCAACTGGTCTTCCTTATTACAAATGCACACTGAAATCGTTCATGCCAGTAATGTAATGTAATACTTTATGAACAAACTGAAATTTAAACTTGTCCAAACCTAAAAAAAACAATATCAATTCCCACTCAGGGCACACCTATATAAAGTGTTTTTGGATCTAAATGGATCAGGACTGATGTAGCAGTAGACCTAGTTGCAGTTCCATGGATTTTATATATCGGCATAAGTATGTGGCACCAATGTGTTGTAAACTGTTACTGTTACCATGATTCTGAGGCATGAGAAACCCCAAGATACCCTCACACTAAATTAAACCTAATCCAACCTAGCCCCAACATGCTGCCTGGTTGTCTTTTTTTATCTTATAATGCTTCGTTTTACATTTCCTATCTCCTGATATCAGCTCCAGGAAACACAGAAATCATTAGCTTCCAACTGACATCTTAGCAAAGGGCGCTGGAAGGACCATATCTACCCCGAGAGCAACCACTAATCCCTAGCATTCACTGACTATGTCCCTTATTTAGGGCATCTAAAACTAGAGCAATATGCCACTGTTGCTCACTTTCCTTTAAAACATTAACCTGGGAACAAGTTAGTCCTTCAAATGTGCTTCCTTACTGTAGTATATACTTTCTACTATACTCTGTAATACGAACTAGTCTGCCACTCAGAGCTACTAGATAGGTCCTCTGTATAAGGTAGGCTATGAGGAGAGACTGCAGATGTGGCCAAAATAGTTAAAAACAAAAAGTTAGCATTTAGGAATTATAAAAAAAACCAGAGTGAGGAAGACAAAATGATTTATAAGATTAGGCAGAAAGAGGCTAAGCAAGTTATAAGAGCTTCCAAATCACACACAGAAGAGAAAATAGCACAGTCAGTAAAAAAGGGGGATAAAACATTTTTTAGATACATAAATGAGAAAAGAAAAGTAAAACAAGGATTAGTTAGATTAAAAACAAAAGAAGGAAGGTATGTAGAAGAGGATGAAGGTCTAGCTGACTGCCTCAATGAATATTTTTGTTCTGTATTTACAGATGAAAATGAAGGAAAGGGACCTCAGTTGAGAAAAAGGATAAATGAGTCATTTATTACACGTGAGTTTACAGAGGAAGAGGTTCTATTTCAACTGTCAAAAGTAAAGACAAATAAGTCAATGGGACCTGATGGAATACACCCAAAGCTATTAAAAGAGCTTAGTGGTGTACTAGCAAAACCATTAACAGATTTATTTAACCAATCATTGTTAACAGGAGTAGTCCCAGAAGATTGGAAGTTAGCGAATGTTGTGCCCATTTACAAGAAAGGTAATAGGGAGGAGTCGGGCAACTATAGGCCAGTAAGCCTTACTTCAGTAGTGGGGAAAGTGATGGAAACCATGTTAAAGGATAGGATTGATGAACATCTAAAAACACATGGATTTCAAGATCAGAGACAACATGGGTTTACTTCAGGGAGATCATGCCAAACTAATCTTATTGATTTTTTTGATTGGGTAACTAAAATTATAGATCAGGGTGGTGCAGTAGACATTGCTTACCTAGATTTCAGTAAGGCTTTTGACACTGTTGCACATAGAAGGCTTATCAATAAACTGCAATCTTTAAGTTTGGATTCCAATATTGTTGAATGGGTAAGGCAGTGGCTGAGTGACAGGCAACAGAGGGTTGTAGTTAATGGAATATATTCGAAGCTTGGACTTGTCACCAGTGGGGTACCTCAGGGATCTGTACTTGGACCCATTCTCTTTAATATTTTTATTAGTGATATTGCAGAAGGTCTTGATGGTAAGGTATGTCTTTTTGCTGATGATACTAAGATATGTAACAGGGTTGATGTTCCAGGAGGGATAAGCCAAATGACAAATGATTTAGGTAAACTAGAAAAATGGTCAGAATTGTGGCAACTGACATTTAATGTGGATAAGTGCAAGATAATGCATCTTGGACCTAAAAACCCAAGGGCAGAGTACAGAATATTTGATAGAGTCCTAACCTCAACATATGAGGAAATGGATTTAGGGGTGATTATTTCTGATGACTTAAAGGTAGGCAGACAATGTAATAGAGCAGCAGGAAATGCTAGCAGAATGCTTGGTTGTATAGGGAGAGGTATTAGCAGTAGAAAGAGGGAAGTGCTCATGCCATTGTACAGAACACTGGTGAGACCTCACTTGGAGTATTGTACACAGTACTGGAGACCGTATCTTCAGAAGGATATTGATACCTTAGAGAGGGTTCAGAGAAGGGCTACTAAACTGGTTCATGGATTGCGGGATAAAACTTACCAGGAAAGGTTAAAGGATCTTAACATGTATAGCTTGGAGGAAAGACGAGACAGGGGGGATATGATAGAAACATTTAAATATATAAAGGGAATCAACACAGTAAAGGAGGAGACTATATTTAAAAGAAGAAAAACTACCACAACAAGAGGACATAGTCTTAAATTAGGGACAAAGGTTTAAAAATAATATCAGGAAGTATTACTTTACTGAGAGGGTAGTGGATGCATGGAATAGCCTTCCAGCTGAAGTGGTAGAGGTTAACACAGTAAAGGAGTTTAAGCATGCGTGGGATAGGCATAAGGCTATCCTAACTATAAGATAAGGCTAGGGACTAATGAAAGTATTTAGAAAATTGGGCAGACTAGATGGGCTGAATGGTTCTTATCTGCTGTCACATTCTATGTTTCTATGTTTCTGTATCCTGCACAGTAGGTATCTCATTTAGAGCTCTGAGGAGTAATGTAGTGATTATAATATGAACCTAATGTAGGGTTTTTTTTCCCATCTGGAAATGCATGTTATTAAGGGCCAAACTTTGAACCAATTGACCTTAATCTTGTTAGCATTTTTGTCCTGTCATTTCTATTGTGTCTTATCCTTTTCAATATGACTGTGGTGAAACATGCTTCAACTATATTAAAAAAATCCAGTATGTTGCCAAATCCTGTAGATTCCATCTTAAAAACATAGCCCACATCCGCCCCTTTCTTACGCAAGATGCTACTAAAGAGCTCTAGTAATTTCCTGCATGGATTATTGTAACTCTCTCCTAATAGGTCTTCCCAATAGCCGTATTGCCCCGCTACAGTCTGTAATGAATGCTGCCGCCAGACTGATTTTCCTGTCATCGGTCCCCTCACCCCTCTGTCTGTCCTTATATTGGCTTCCTGTATCCTATAGGAGTCAATTCAAAGTGCTAACCCATACCTATAAAGCACTGACCAATTCTAGACCCTCTTATATCTCTTCACAGACCCATAGGAATGCCCCTTCTCGGTCTCTCCGCTCCGCTTGCAGGACTTCCCACGGGTGGCTCCCTTCATATGGAATAGCCTGCCTACCGCCATCAGACTCTCCCCTAGTCTTCATTCGTTTAAGAAGTGCCTTAAAACCCATCTCTTTAGGAAAGCTTATGGCCTCCCAGAGTAACCTCTACCTCACATACCTGTCTCTTGCTCTCTCCTAATGGGCAGCACTCTACTCTCTCCCCCAGCTCTGCTTCACTCCCACCTTATCTGATTGCTATTTCCTGTCCTACTGTGTTTTATACCCCACCTCCTATAGACTGTAAGTTGGTTTGAGCAGGGTCCATTTCAACCTATCGTTCCTGTAAGTTTTCTTGTAATTGTCCTATTTATAGTTAAATCTCCCCTTTCATAATATTGTAAAGCTCTATGGAATCTGTTGGCGCTATATAAATGGCAATAATAATGATAATTCTCCACCATTCCCAGTTTAGTCAGTAAACAGAGTGTGCAGTGTTTAGTGTTGTTGAGGAAATACAGATTGAGAAAAAAATAGATTATATATTTCTAGAATGTGAGACAGATTTCAATATGTAAAGGGTGTAAAGGTATTAAGTGACTTATCAATCCTACCATGGCATAGAGAGGAACAGAGTAAGTAAAGAGATTTACACGTTTATTTAAATTTAGTTTGATGATGTTTTTACACAAATATGTAGTGATGAGTCTAGCATTTTAGAAAATTAACCTCAAAGATGATAGATAGACTAGTTGCAACTATTATTGAGCAATGGTTACTATATCCCAACAGTCGAGTTGGCTGTTTTTATCTGATATGGCTTTCACTGCTATGCATGTGAAAAATAGGAGTTTATTTGGTATTGCTATAGTTAAAACATTGTAATAAATCAAGGTTTTTAATAAAAAGGGAACTGTCTCGTACCAGGATTCTTTAACATTATATCTACTTATCCTTTACATATTACAAATATGTTCTTGTATGATCTGAAAAAAATAATAATTTGGAAATCTACATTGCTGTATTTATTTCAGTTCTGGAATTCAGCCCATTTATTGTAAATAATAAAAAAAATAAAAAATAAAAATAAACAGTCACAACTATCACGAAGCAATGGTTGTGCATAGAGAGAGAAAGAAAACCAAAAACAATGTTTCTCCTCATCCAAGGCAATGTGTGCCCTGATTGTGCCTGGACTGAACTTAACTGTGCTAATTGCTAAATATTTCAAATAAATATAAAAAAGAATGTAGCACGAAGAACACGTTAACACAATCAATACGTGATTTTCACAGTTATATTCAGTGGTGTAATTTCTAACACAATGATAATCCCTATTTATAGAGTCTCTGTCACCTCAATCTCGCCTTTTTTCCTATTGTTTCCTCTTCTCTTCCTGTTTCAGAACCTGTTCTTCTTTTCTTAATAATGATCTATTTCCCTTCAAATCTTAAAACAAAGTAGGGACTACTGACAAATCTTGGATCAAAGTAAGGTGATAGTGCACAAATGGATAAAATGTCTCTCAGCAGTAAATAGGCAGAATGTAACCCATTAATAAAAATCTGAAAACATCATAGCATAGACTGTATAGGAATTTGTCAGTATTCAAGGTATATGAAATACTCACAAATCTAAGAGCCCTTAAGGTAGGCTCTGAGCTCAGCAGGTTTCTCAACGCTCTCAGAATGGTGTGATGTCTAGAGCTTCAAATGCCAGATCCCAGCAGTGGTACTCTTCCACTTTGAAGATCAAGAACCAATGAGGTGAGTATAAATACAGTTTATTTAAACATATATAAAAAAGCACAAAAAAACTGAGGTGGAGTAAACAGGCACAACGCGTTTTGACCACAGCAGTGGTCTTCCTCAGGTGCAAATACCTTGACACATAAAAATCCCCATATCTATATACCTTTTAATGTCCTTCATATCGTCTAGGTGTGTAGTTTACTCTTCTGTCCATACATGGTCCGTTCTTCGTGAACATCTGCCACTCGCAATATGGCGGTAATATCCGGTTTTCATGTCCACTGGATATTACCGCCATATTGAGAGCTTTGTTGTGTTTTTATGTACGTTTCAAGAAAGTGTATACAGAAATTAGACCTACGTAAATGTATCCAGAATTTACGTATGTATTAGTGTTTTTAGTAATACAACACTTGGGTGAATATTTGCTGCGCTGGTTGTCTTATTGTGGCGCCACTAATCCTTAAATACATTTTTAGTATTTGACAAATCTTGACAAATGACAAGGCAAAACAAGTGGAGCTTAATAAAAAAAAAAAGTAACCCAAAGAGCACCAGATTAAGTTTGCATATAAAACAAATTATTCATCCAGTGATTCAATAAAAATAGTTTTAAAAAAAGTGCAAACAGCAGTGTAGGCATGTAAACATTAAGTCAACATAAAGGGTTAGTATGCCTACAATATTATGGGTTTGTGGGATTTCTAACTAAGCACTTATCTCTGTACTTGCACTTTTCTTGTACTATATTTATTGAATCACTGGATGAATATATCTTTTTAAAGGCAAACTTAATCTGGTGTGGTTTTTTTTTTTTTTTTACTGTGTGCCTGCATCTGGTGGGGGAACAGATTCTTCCCACGAAGGACCCAACAACTTTTTTTTTTTACCACACTTTCACCCATATAGAGGTTGAGCGCTCATTACATATTTGTATATGCAAAGGTAGTGGAGCTTGCCTTATGCCTACGATTGTCACGAATACATCCAATAAAATAAATCCTGTGTTTTAAAGAGAAATAGATCGGAAATGAAGAAAAGAAGAACGGATTCTGAAAGAGGAAGAGAAAACTAAACAATAGGAGAAAGTTTTAGTTGCAGTACCACTTTAAGCAAAATACATTTTAAAATGGCTAATTTTTTTCTCTGTAAAACATCTTTTTTAAGTTTATCAAATAATGAACTTTTTGCAAATATAAATAAAAAAAAAATACTTACGAAGAAGCGACATGGTACACTTTGTGTTTGTACAGTTGTGCTTTAGTCTGGCATTAAAACCCATGTGAATAGCAATTTTAATCTGTGCTAAACCCAACTAATGTTAGTGCATTTAAATGGATTTCCAACAAGTCATTATCATGCAAATGTTCCCTCAATATCTATTTCTTGGTTATCTCATAGTAATTTCTGCAGGCTAGGTGTTTATTGCAGAATATAAAATTGATATTAGACCTCTAGTCAATGAATTATAGTACAAATAAATATTGTTAAATTATGATCATAGTATTGACACAGACCTTATTAATGAAGTTAATTATTTCTGTAATGGCTTTTCTGCTCTTCCTGAGAGCTGCATTTGTTTTTTTAAGGGTCCAATATAATAGATATACATTTTTAATGAAATTAAATGGGAGAGGCTCCGTGATTCTCCTTTACATTGGCAGTTGTAATAATATAGTGACATATTTTCTTGAATTAAAATATAGAGCAAATCCAGTGGCTGGTAAAATATCTATCTGTATGCTTTAGATCTGAAGCTTTGTTGAGTGTTGCCTACTTGATGTTACTTTGGTACGTGATCTCCTTAATACCATTTATACATGTGCGTAAAAACCAACATAATTCATAGGCATGTGCATGGGAAAATGTTTCGGTTCGGTTCGGCATTCCAAAATTCGTGACTTCGGCAATTCGGCACTTCAGAACTTCGGCACTTCGGAACTTCGGTAACTTCGGCAATTCGGCACTTCGACACTTCAGCAACTTCGGCAATTCTGCACTTTGACACTTCAGAACTTCAGCAACTTCGGCACTTCGACACTTCAGAACTTCGGCACTTCGGAACTTCGCCACTTCGGAATTTCGGTAACTTCGGCACTTTGGCACTTCGACACTTCAGAACTTCGGCACCTCAACACTTCGGAACTTCGGCAACTTCGGAATTTCGGAAGTTGTCTTGCAGCCACTTGGTAGATAACTCCCTAATTCCCACAGTATTAGGGAGTTATCTACCAAAAGGCTGAAAGACCTAAATTGCTCTTTCAGCCACATTTACTAATACTAAGTAAAAATGACTTAGTATTAGTAAATTTTGCCCCTACTCGCTATACCGTGAGTAGGGGCATGTCTATTAAACAGTGAGCAGCCGGCAGGTGGGGGCCCTAAAGTAAAATAAAGGGGGGACCTATTGTCCTAAATACTAATTAGGGGGGGTACCTAATGTCCTTCCCCCTGGCCCCCACCCCTGAGCAGTGGGTGGGGACTCTAAATACTAATTGGGGGGGACCTAATGTCCTCCCCTCGGGCCCACACCCCTGAGCGGTGGGTGGGGCCCTAAATACTAATTGGGAGGGACCTAATGTCCTCATTCCTGGGCCCCACCCCTGAGCGTCGGGTGGGGGCCCTAAATGAAAAAATAACCCCCCCTCCAGCAGGTGACTAGGGGTCCCCAAACCCCTAGTCACCCCCTTACCCCAAAAAATTAACCCCTACCTACCCCCCTCACCCTAAAAATAATGAGGGGGGACCATTTAGCTAAGTACCTGTAAAAAAATAAAAATAAACTTATCATTTGATGTTTTCTTTCTTCTAAAATCTTATTTTTTTCAGCCCCAAAAAAGGCCAAATAAAAAGCCATAATAACCAACGCAATAAAAAAAAAAAAAAAAACGAGCACAAAAAAAAAAATCAATCTTCACCCGGTGAGGGCTCCGCGCAGACTGAGCTCTGCAGGGCGGGGGAAGGATTATAAAGCCTTGCCCCGCCCTGCAATTAGGCTCACAGCACTCTGATTGGTGTGTTTAAGCCATCCAATCAGAGTGCTCTGACAGGTAAATGAAGAGACTGACAGGTAAGTCTCTACATTTACCTGTCACAGCACTCTGATTGGTTGGTTTGAAATCCACCAATCAGAGTGCTCTGTGTCAATTTACACAGCATGGGAAAGTTCTTTGGAATTTCCCCACACTGTGTAATTTGATTCATAACACTCTGATTGGTGGATTAAGTAACCAATCATAGTGTTATGAGTCAAATTACACATTGTGTATATTTTTACAGTGAGCAGCCACAGGCAGTATAGCAATTAGGGGCATAATTTACTAATACTAAGTAATCTTTTAGTAGATAGCTCCCTAATACCGTGGGAATTAGGGAGTTTTCTACTTATTCATTCCTGTCATTACATTGACTGGCCAAGTAACTTACATTTTATATGAATGTATGTTACTTGATTGTGTTGTGTTGCAAATGCTTACAGCTGAATCCTGGCTATGTTTGTATACTTTTTATTTAAAATTGTAACATTCTTCTTCTTACACTGGATAAGTATATCAGTACTTAGGCAAAACTGTGCTTTGGCAATTCGTCACTTCGGAACTTCAGAACTTCGTCACTTCGACACTTCGGAAATTCTGTAATTTCGGAACTTCGGGACCTCGGTAATTCGCCATTTTGGCTATTCGGACATTCGGAAGCACCCAGCTCTTCTTGGGAAGTAGTAGAAGGGACTAGTGGACCCCAGCACTCTGATTGGTTGGTTTGAAATCCACCAATCAGAGTGCTCTGTGTCAATTTACACAGCATGGGAAAGGAAGCACCTGAATGTCCGAATTGCCCGAAAATAGTCCGAATACATATTCGGCCCGACACGAATTGCACATGTCTAATAATTCAGATTTTTTTCAATATGCACAAAATTGTGCAAAACTAAGTACAATTGTGCAAAACTAAGGGAAAAATCTCTACATTCGATGCAATAATGTCAATCTCAATCTGTCACGGCTCTCTGCTCTTCTGTCGGAGTTTCTAACTTACCTTGGTCGTGGCGGGCAGCTGCCTGGTCACCCTCCATTCTGGTCCCCAGTGGGTGCGTGACGTTCTTAGAAACGCTGGCTGCTGTGGTTCAGGATTTTATAATAAACTTACCTTCGCCCACATTAAAGATGCCGCCAATGTGCGTGCGACGTCACGTCATAGATGTGCACGCACTTTTTGGGGTCAGAGGTCCGAGACAGCCAATTACAGCCTAAAGAGGGTTATTTAAACCCTAAATTACCTTTTTGCCAGTGTCCTGTCGTATTTTCCACTAGCTGGTTATCCAAGAGTGTGTTCCTGATTGTGTTTATTCTGGTATTTGACTTTGGCTTTGTTTTGACTTCCTTGATTTCTGGTATTCTTGACTTCTGACTTTCCTCATCGTTGCATCTCATTCTGTGCCCCTGACCTCGGCAAGTATTTTGACTATTCTCTGGTACATTATTTCCGGCCATTCTAAGGTCCGGTTAGACGTTATCCTTAGTCTTTAGGTGTGATACAATTCTGCGTGCTGGATCAACTATAATCCTGACACAACCATCTCCCACTGGAGTCTGTCACTACTATTGATAACAAAAAAGGTAGCAGTATATGAATATGTTGTTATAAAACACAGTTTGAATAAAGGTATCAAACTGACATTAGCAATATAATTTTCATAATATTACTTTCTAAGTAATGTATCATAAATCTATCTAATTCTGGCATTTTGTGGACATATGCTAATGCAAGTAGACCTTTCTTGAGAATTTTGCAACCAAACTTCAGAAAATTGCATAAACATTGGGACTGCAACAGCTACACATTATGTGTATCCTCTATATTTTTAAGAGTCATTTCCTTGGCATCAATGTCTTGTCAGTTTCTTGACATTAATTGATCTTATTGGTACTCATTAGATTGTTATCCTTGGTCATATGTTGTGTTCCAGGTGTTGAAGTTGAAGAAAGTAAAAATATAATATAGAAAAAAAGCGAGTGACATCACAATCAATCTGCAAAACAAGAAGGCAAAAATTATTTTTTACGAGAAGAAAATTAAAAAGAAACACAATTGTCCTTAGTCATTAGATGCTTTATTACCTAACATTGTTGGATCAGTTAGAGCTTTATGATAATTTATTTTCTATAATGAGTCTGACCAAGAAAACCACTACATATAGCAATTATTGTTAATTGAATTGGATTTTTCATACGTGACAAAAACATTAAAAAAACAAAAAGCACGAACAGAGCTCTAATATGCAGTCAATGTATGTTCTGTTATATTAAAGGAACACTCTAAGCACAACAGTCTGTTTAGTTTGCTATAGTTGTTATGGTGCCAGGAGTGCCCTGATGTCCTCAGTGTAAGGAGTCAAACTGTCTAAACCTGCTTAGGAGCTTCCAGCTCTCCTTGGGAAGTAGTAGAAGGGACTAGTGGACCCCAGGTAAAAGGTCATACAGATCAAAATGGGTTTGAAGAATGCAAAGAATGTAGTGATTTTCTGCTCAAACAAAACCCTTTAGGAGCACTCTATGCACAGCAATTCTAAAAGGGGACTGGCCAGCATGGCTATTGGTCAGCTTAGCATCCACAATTACACTTCCTCTTTCCAGCACGGCTCAGTGCACCTTGATGCATCACTGGCACCCATTTCCATCGCTGCCCTGTTCTACTTTCATACCTCTGAATGTAAGGAAGTATATTCCTCTGTAATATCTTTCTGGATTTTTAAAATCACAAGTTATTTCCCATGAAAAATGTTGGTGCACGTGATGGCGTGCAATTTGTGTAGAAAGTGTTACTCAAAAGAATACATACAATATAAAAACTGTGCTGGTTCTTAGTACACGGATCCAGGGTCATATTTTCCATTAGACAGAGTAGATACCTGCCTACAGACACATGTCCACGTATATGGTGCCTTTTTGCAGCTTGCATGGGTTGGTGGGAGAAGCACAGGGGCATTGGCCAGCGTCCTCTGTAACCCAGTCAGCCACCTGTGCTTCATAGCAGAACTGCAGGAACAATTATACAGGGTGTAAAGCTCAGTTATGTCTCAGCTCCTCCGGTGTCTGTGTGTGAGGCTGTAGAGGAAGTGGAATGCATAATTTCCCATCTGCCCTCTCAAACAGGAAGTGCCTTGCAGGAACAGCAAGGACAGCACTGAGTGATGCACACTGCATAACATCTACTGCAGCTCAGATATCAATCAGAATAGAAAGGTGACTTGACTACAGAAGACATAGGAGGGTGAATACTTTGCAAATAACCCGTTAAACTCCATATGCCATAAACACCGTTTTCCCTAACCCTAAATTTAACCGCCACCCACAAAACTTAAACAAACCCTTTCTTTATTCCCAAATTTAAGCACTCAAAGCCTTAAACCCAGGTTTAACACTTCTCAATTGTCAAATATATATATATAATGAGAAAGAAAGAAAGATCTTAAATCCAATCTTACATTGTAACATTTTAGAATGCTTTTATAAAAATAAATAAAATCTAGTTATTGGAGGTGGCTGGGAGTTTAGTTTTAAAGCTCCCAGCCACCTCCATTTTCTTTATATATATTTTCTTCTCAAGAAACTAATTCAAAAATATTTACTACACTATTTATAATGCTAAAAAAAAAAAAAAATACAAACTATCTGTCTACACAGATTTTGTTTTAACCCAACTCATTACATGATTTGGAAATTGGTACGACAAAGCAAACACAAATTTGTTTTGTATATAAGGGAATTATAAATTGGATTTCTGTGTATATCACATTCAATTTCTCTTTCCAAACTTGCGTGCTACTAAAACTATCTTGTTTAATAATCACAATTACTAAAACGATGTCTATCTCATTCATTATGAAGCTATTTCTGCAAGTCGATGCTGCAGTGCAAAGCTAGGTACATTTATTACAGTGGCTTAACAAGCCCAGAGTCCTTAACACTTTGGTTGCCATATATAGCATTGGTGTGCAGAACACAGACCTAACAAATAGAAATACTAAAAAAAATATAAGAGTAATTAGATGAGCTTTTGTCTGGTCACAGATTACTAATAATGTTGAAACCTTATTCAGAATTTTTTCACCAGATGTGGAATTTCTACGTTATATTTTCATTTCATGAATACGCTGAATTAAAATGGCAACAATGTAGCTCCCACCAATCTCAGTCCCAGGTTCTACCTAGTGTTAGAATCTCTGAACCGCATTATTCTCTGTTCATTACATGGAATACTTGCACGGTTGATATCACCATATTTTCATAATGTGATTCTAAGCAACAAAAAACAACAAAAACAATTAGCATATCATGTAAAAAATAACAAGAACAAGAACAAGAACATATATGAAGGGACATGAGGCAGATGAGAAGGTGTACAAATACCAAAGACTGAAATAGGATCTAGAAAATATGTGATGGCAGTAGTACACTTCAAGTAATAGGAGCACTTGGGACTGTGACCCCCAAGTTGGGGAAGTGGCTTCAACAGATTCCAGGTGGGACATCTGAGATCGCTGTCAAGAAGAGTGCAGTGTGTAGGAACAGCTAAGATACCGTGCAGAACCCTCAGACTCCCAGGCCTCTGATAGAGGATCTGTGAATAAGCAACGCACAAAAATACCACCAGATTGGTGAGAAATTTACATTTGTATATATAGATTGATCTGCCACAACATTAAAACCACTGAAAGGTGATGTGAATAACTTTGATTAAATCATTGCAGTGGCACCTGCAGTGCAGTGGGATATATTAGGCAGAATGGCAACAGTCAGTTCTTGAATTTTACGTGTTAGGACCGGGAAATTTGGGCAAGAAAAAAGATCTGAGTGCATTGACAAGGGATAAATAGTGATGGCTAGATGACTGGGTCAGAGAATCTCCAAAACAAATTCCCAGTATGCAGTGGTTAGTACCTTCTAAAAGTGGTGCAAGTAAGCACAACTGGTGAACCAGTGTCAGGGACATGGGCACCCAAGGCTCAATGATGCACTTTGGGAGCGAAGGCTAGCCCATCTGGTCCAATTACACAGAAGAGATGCTGTAGCTCAAATCCTGAAAAACTTAATGCTGGCCATGATAGAACGGTGTCAGTAGCACACAGTGCTCAGTACAGTTTGCTGACTGGTCAGAGTGTCCATGATAACCCCTGGCCATCACCAAATTGTTCAGGATTGGTTTGAAGAACACTGTTTAAGATGTTGCTTTGGCCTCTTAATTCCCCAGATCTCCCTACGATTGAGCATCTGTGGGATGTGCTGGAAAAACAAATCTGATCCAAGGAACAACCTGCAGGGCTTAAAAGATCTGCTGCTACTGTATGGTGCTATATACCACAAGGACTGGATTAACATAGGGGCTGATTTAGCTGCAGATGCCCATGGAATAGACCCTATAATTTAATATATATATATATATATATATATATATATATTTATTTATTTATTACTTTCTGGGGGTTTTTTTTACACACTACTCTTCACATACTCTTGCTTAAGTATTGAATCTCAAGTGGGATGTAGGGGAACAAAACGTGTGTGGACTGGCTGAAAATGAAATTAGTTTAGGTAATGCTGACTTTGGTCTCTCTAACACTGTGGCATGTCCCTTTCTTCTACACTCATTACATACACCTTTTCTGTGTCCCAGATTATATATCAGGAGGTTCTGCCTGCTAATAAGAAGGTAAGTAGACAAGGGGACATACAAGTGTTAAAGGACAGTACTTAGAAAGTGTGAAGCGAGCACATCATACGACAGGAAACATTCAGAGGAGTCCATGCCTCAATGTATAAGATCTGTTTTGGCAGCGGGATGGTGACCTACATGATTTAAGGCAGGTGGTTTTAATGTTATAGATTAGCTGTTCTGTGTATAAATATGTATGTGTACTGTACTTGAAAACGAGAGAAATCTCAATGTATCCTTTTAGGTAAAATATTTTATAAATTAATAAATATGTATATTTATTTATTTACATATCAAAGTATTGCAGTATGCCAAGGTTCCTTTTTTATTGGACTAACATAATATTTGTTATGTTAATCCAATAAAAAAAAAAATATTATTGCATACTGCAATACTCTGGTATTTTTGCATCTTGTCTTCTGGACAAATATGGCTAATCATATATATATCGTAACAGAATGTAGTAGTCTCAGTTAAAACATAACGTTTATTTCCTCGTGGTTAAAATGTGCACATATACAGTTCAACGTTTCAGTCCCAGCGTGGGACTTTCCTCAGGACAGCATTAAGCAGGGAGGAAAAGTTATTAAGAGTTCAATTGATATGCTTTTCTGAAGAAGTGAGTTTTTAATGATCTTTTGAAGGAACTCAAGACTGGATGAGAGTCTAACGGAACAGGGAAAGGTGGTCCATAGGAACAGCACAGCCCTGGCGAAGTCTTGAAGGTTTGCGTCAGAGGTGCAAGTATGAACTGAGGATAGCCGCATATCTTTGGCAGAGCGTAGAGGCTTGTGTATCACTTGTGTATCAGTGAGGATAGGTAGGTAGGAGCAGCGCTATGTAGAGATTTGTAAGCAAGCACCAGAATTTTTATATGAACTCTAAATCTTACGGGAAGTCAGTGTAGAGACTGACAGAGGGGAGCATGGAAGGTGCTGGGGAACAGAAAGATGAGCCTCGCCACCATATTCATTATAGATGGTGATGGGGCAAGCTGAGAATGCATAAGACCACTGAGAAGAGAGTTGCAGTAGTCAAAGCGAGAGATGATAGTTGCATAGACCAACACCTTAGCTGCATCTAGCTATGTTTTTGAGATGGAAGTAGTAGGATTTGGTGAGTGACTGGATATGAGGGGTGAAGGAAAGGTTGGAGTCAAAGAAAACACCTAGGCAGCAAAACTGCGAGGTAGAGCTGATTGTACTGCCATTGACTTGCAGGGAGACAGATATGGAAGTAGCAACACTTGAGGGAGGAAAGAAATTGAGCAGCCATCTAGTAAGAAATAGCAGAAAGGCAGTCAGAGACATGATTCAAGAGGGACGGTGAGAGACCAGGAGAGGACATATAGATTTGCATGTCAAAAAGACCCTTATTCAAGAAGATCAAAGAGTCATGGGAGTCATATTTCAAAATAACTGGAATAGGTTCTATAAGAGAATCGTCACTTTAGAAGACAGTGGAGGAAGAAATACAGAAATAAACACTTTATGTGATTTGCATATTATCTGTGACAAACACCCAGAGAAACAAAAGCTGATGTACAGCTGATCATCATCCCACACATTCGTATGATATGCAATATACTAATGCTGGCAAGGTGACAGAAATCATGAATGTTTTCATATTAAGCAAATCCAAGGTAGTATTAAACATAAAAAAAAACACAATTGGAGATTATCATGATCACTAAGGTGACAATAATTCTGTTTCTTGAGAAACAGGACATATTGAAAAATAAC